GAAGCTCAAGAGTCCTCGACTCAATGTGAGCTCCTTGAAGGCAAAACCAATTTTGGTCTTGTCTTTGTATTCTCAATGCCCAACACTGTCTTCCAGTTTTAGCCAGAAGTGATTAGCAGTTAGGGAGGGCAGCAGAGATCTGCAGACCCTGGCTGGGGAGGTTTGGGGTGAGTGGGAGGATGGGGGTAACATTCCTTCCTCTCTGGGACCAGCCTAACTGCACACTACTTGGCTCAGTTCTCAGTCAGCGGGCGAGCATCCCTTACCTCTGATGGACGGACCAACTCTTGGGCATCCACAGGGGCCCCGTCCACTTCCTCCCACACCAGCAGCTCCCTCCCTGACCGCCCTGTGCTGCCCGACAGCTGCCCTGTGGGAGCTGACAGCACCCCCCAGAGGGACCATGTGAGTGACACAGGCCAGGGCAGGATCTAATAGGTCAGACAGACTTAAGTGGCTGTTTGGATTCTGGGAAGGGGGGAGGGCAGCTTGGAGGGTTTGTGGTTCAAGTGGAAGGGTCTAGTTGGACACCTAGAAGAAGAGTAAGAACTGGGGCTGCCCACATGCTGCTAAACAAATTCGCTGCTCCCTTGGCCCCCCTGGCCCCATCTGCCATATAATCCAGCCAGAGACTGGAGGTCCAGCAGGTCCTCGTTCCTCAGCCCCCAGTGGCTGGGGCCACAAAGCCTGGGGGCCATCCATCCCTAGTGTGGTTTGGAGGACACCCAGCACTGTCCCTCTCTGTCCCTCCAGGGCCAGGCCAACCCCAACACCTCCAGCTTGGGAAGGCGTCGGGCAGAACTGAGACGCAGGAGCAGCAGCCGCTCATCCAAGGGAAAAGGCGCAGGGCAGCTGAAAGGAGAGGAGCCAGTGCTCAGGGCTCCCCTGCGTCTGGACCTGGGCCTCACCAATGTAGGGACCTCCCCCAGCCTTGGCCCTGTCTCTGTATTTTAACTGGTCCCTGTGTCTGTCCCTCACTCTCTGTCTCCCTGGGTCTCTCTCTCCTAGTCCCCAAAGAATAACTGGCCCACATGTGTGGTCCTAGCTGGCAAGGGGGGGTTCAGATAGCTGTCATGTCAGCTGGTCTCCCAGCCCAAAGCAGATGGATGTCACTTCTAATGAAAGGGACCCAAGTGAGCCATCACCAAGCATGATCACCCTGTTTCCCCCACCCCCCGCCCCTGGCTTCTTCTGCAGCTAAACCGGAGGAGTCCCGAGGTCAGCGAGGAAGCAACAGCTGACACTCCAGAGAAACCCCAGTCCCCACTGTATGCTGACCCCTATACCCCGACCTCCACCACCCACAATAAGATCACCGATGTCAGTGACCTGGATGAGGTCAGTCCTCCAGTAGAATTGGGGAGGGTTCTGGTTAAACCTGATCTGATTAACATCCAAAGCCTGAAGTCTGCCTGGAGCCAGCTCTGGTCAGTGCCTGAACCCCAAGGTCTCGGCCCAGGCTGGCTCTGGGGAGCCTTAAGGGAGATCTCCAGGGACACGGGGGCGTCCCTGGCTCCAAGCCCATCAGGACCTGATAGAGACTCTGTTGGTTTTCCTCACAGTTCCTGGTGGCAGCTAAGAGTTGTATAGGCCGGGAGCCACTGAGCACCTTCCCCACCATCCCCGTCTCCATCCCTGTCCCTGTCCCATCCCCCAGCTTACACCCCCTTCAGAAAAAGCCAGCCCCTCAGCACCGGGAATCTCCGAGACATCGAGGCTCCTTCCAAGTCCGGGGAGCTGGTGCTCTGGAGCCTTCCCGAACCCGTCAGGTGAGTGGAGGCTGATTGGGGAGGGGCCCTGGTCCTGACCTGGAACCACAGGCTGAGGGCAATGTCTGCAGCTGGGGATGGGGGTGGAGGGAAGAGTGTGCCCAGAGGCAGAGACAGAGATGGGGAGAGAGAGACAGAGACAGAGACAAAGAGACAGAGAAAGAGAGGACACAGAGAGAGAGAGAGAGATCCAAATGAAGAGAGACAGGCATGTCTGGGCCTCCTTTCATAGGACTGTAGAGCTGGGAAGGACCGTAGGACATGGAATGCTAGAGCTAGAAGGAACCTTAGAACAGAGATTCTCAGAGCTGGGAGAGCCCTTTGGATATGGAATATTAGAACATAGAACAGAGAATATCAGAACTGAAGGGAAGCTTCTCATTTCAATACACACACACATACACACACACACTGATGAGGCCCAGAGATGACTTCTCCCAAGGTCATGCAAGTAATAATAACAGCTAGAATTTATTAAGTACCTACTATGTGCCAGGCATTGTACTTAAGCCCTTTTATAAGTATTATCTAATTTTATCCTCACAGTAACTCTGGGATACCTCCCAGGTGCTCTTATTATCCCCATTGTACAGATGAGCAAACCGAGGCAAACAGGTGAAATGACTTGTCCAGGGTCACATCGGCAGTAAGAGTCTGGGGCTGGATTTAAACTTGGGTCTTCCAGCACTCTGTGCACTATGGCACCCCCACCCCCCAGCTGCCTCACAGCTAAGTAATAAGTCGCAGGGGTGAGATTCAAATGCAGATCTTCTGGCTTCAGATAGAGGAGTGTCTCCACCCCCATGCCTCAGTTTCCTGGTTTGTCTCCCCAGGTTCAGGTCACTCCATCAAAGGAAGGTTCCCCTGACCCTCAGCTTCGACTTCCAGGTGAGTTATCCCTCTTGGTGCTCAGAAGCTAACCCCATGGGACCTTCCCCCAGGGGTCTGATGCCGAGTGGCCTCCTCCTCCCATGCTCCAGCCACCCCTGAGCTCTCTCTCGCTGTGAATGATGGCTGTGGCAGCCCAGCACGGCTGTCTCTCTTGTCCCCAGAACAGCCACTGACCCCAGGTCATGAGAACATCTGTCCTAGTTGGACTCTGCCCTCACCTTGAGGGACCTGAAGGATGGGAGCCCAGCTCGACCTCTGCTGGGACCTCTCAATCGAGGCAGCCTGATGCCCTCCTTGAAACTTTACCTAAAAGCAGGGGTCTGCTGGGGCCCTGCCTGTCTTTCTATCTGCCCTGGTTCAAACCTGAATGACATCTCTGTATCTTTGCAGGTGGCAGCTCCCCCAGCGGGAAGGGTCATGAGCAGGGACGGTCCTCCTCAGAGCCCTCCAGTGGCCAGAGAGACTTCAGTTACGATAACATCTGGGACAAGCCAGGGCCACCTTCATCTTCTAGACACAAGTGGCACTGCCCTCCTGCATCAGAGGCTGCAGGGAGGTTGACTCAGTGGATTTGACCTGGCCTGGAGTCTTTTGCTGGTCAAAGTGGGTACCAGAAGGACGCCAGACATCCTGGCCTCCAGCCCCACCTTGGTGCTAAATGGAAGCCTCTCTGAATTTTGGGGGCCTGGGCCATCTCGGTCTGCTTCTCCACACCCCCAAACTGCTGGGGAGATTGAGTCAGGGTTTTATCCATCTTTGGGAGGGCTCAGCAGGGGGGACCTCAATGCCCCTAGACCCAGCCTCTCCCCTCTACTGCTCCCCATGAGTCCTAGGGAAGGGGGAAAAGGAGGGAGCCAACTTGCTGTCCACTGCCGCCTTTGCCCAAATCAGATTCTACATGAGATTTTGAGACGGGACCTTGGGACCATGTGTGGAGGCTGGGTTCCTTCCATGGAACTCAGAGCAGAACCCACCTAGGCTCCTTCCAATACAGGCTGTAAGAGCCTGGGGCATAAAGACACATCCAGGGAATTGTGACTACAAGTCTAGGTCCCTCAGTGACGGGTCCCTGAGTGGAGATAGTGGGGGACACATCCCATATATGGCTGCTACTCTTAATGTTCCTAATCATTCGATGACACCCCCTTCCCTTTCCACATCTGACCTAGCCTCTGGGGGAGGGGATCCCCAGTGTATCTAGGTCTGTGGACAACTAAGTTCTTTGTGGTGTTACAAGTGTCCTTCCCACCTCCCCTGCCCTGTACCCCAAACATCAGTGTTCTGTGCTGCCCCCTGGTGTCTATGTTGGGGATTTGAGCTGAAAATTTGAAGTGATGACATAAGGTGTAGGCAGGGGAGGGGAGGGAAGGAAAGACAGAGAGTGAGGAGGAGGAGGAGAAGAAATTACAGGGAATATCATGGGATGGAGTTAGAGGTGAAGGTGTGGGTGGGTCTGGGGAGGTGGGAAGAGAATCCCACATCACCCCCCCCCATCTAAGACTCTTGGAGGAGGGCAGCTGGTGATGGTCCTTGAATAGTGGTGCTCAGTGAGAAAGGAAAGTTGGAGAGTGAAGGACCGTGAGCAGCGAAGGCTGTGAAGGACAGTGGAAAGCTGTGAACGGCAGTGAGCCGGGGAGCTAGCGGGAGGTGCTAATAAGGGTGATGAGGGCTGGTGAGCAGTCAGATTAGTGGGAGGCAGCCAGGTTGGTGTGAGGGACAGTGAAGAGATGTGAGCAGAAAAGGGTCAGTGGGTTCTCAGCTTTGCCTGGGGGCTCAGGGTTAAGTAAGGACAGGTTAGACAGACCCTGAAGACCCCTCCGCCATATTCCCTTGACATAAGCCAGGGCAGGAATGGGGAGAGCTAGGAAAGGGGTGACTGATTCTTGTGCCAAAGATTCTAGGGTCTGCCTTTTGGGAAGTGCCCCAGTCTCCCCAGCCTCTCCTCTCCACTGGAAGCAGGTGTGCCTCAAATCAGGATTTAGCCTGTGTCACAGGGTGGCTTCTGGGTAAAAAGTCACAATCCTGACAGCTTGGTCTGGGGGAGGGGGGATGGAGCTGATCCTGGGGAAGTCAACCCCTCAACCCAGAAATAGAAAAAGAAATTTTATTGTCACCCAGTGTCTGTGTGTCCATCTCTCTTCCACCTCGCCCTCCCGCCCCACTCTCACACCAGCGGTCACTCGGGTAACTGTCAGGGAACTCACTCCAAAGGAGTGAGGGTGTTGGGCCTTTAACCTTTAACCTCCCTGCTGCCCTCTCAGCCCCTTCCCATTCCTTTCCTTCTCCCACCTCATTTAACCCTCCCCCAAATGACCAGGAGCCCCCAATCTCCCTCACCAGCCCTCTGCTCCCTGCCTCCAACCTCTAGTCAATGACCTCATCTCCTACCTACCTCTCACCATCTCCTCTCCTTCAAATCTCAGTGCCTTCTTAGGGAGCCCCAGTGTCCAAATGCACGTCCAATGTCTGCCACCACTGTCCCTGACCCACCAGCTCCTTTCAGGACATCCTCATTCCACGCACCCACAATTCATGTGGGCCTGGTCTGTCCCCAAGAGTGGGAGCTGTGTCCCTGTGATTGCCCTCGTCCTGCCTTCTCCACTTCACCCTCTATCCCCCTTGCCCACAATGTCACCAGGCAGGGGCAGAGGAAAGAGACATCTTCGCTGACCATCTTCAGAGCCTGTCTGTCACCAGTTTGTTTCAGGAGGTTACCTGAAGGACCAGAATGGCCAAGCTAAGGGCATCCAAGGCTGTGCCCTGCCAGCTGACCTGGCTCCCACCACTTCCCCTCCATACTGTCCACTTGGGCTCCTGCCCCTGGCCTCCAGGTCATCCAGGAGTCACTTGGGTGGCCCTTATGTTCACTGATTACCAGAATGAGCCATCCCCTCCTCCCCCTTCTGAAGCCTGACTTGGCACAGGTCCATTAACTGGGACCCAGACCTCTCAGTCCTGTTGAGAGGAAAAAGTGAAGATGGTCTCAGGATTGGGTTTCCTTCTCCCTCCCAAGTAGAGAAGGCTGAAGGTTGGACAGCTGTCTCATGGACAGGCCTGGGACGTGGGAGAAGAGAGACTGGGGAATGGGGAAGGGGGAGTGCAGTGTGAACATGGCCTCGGGGTCATTACGGAGGAGCCGATCAGAGGTCAGAAGAAGCCAGTCCCGCATGGCAGGGTGCCACCTTCACTCAAACCCTGAGCCTAGGTGACCAACCCAGGCTGGGGCCTGCCTGCCTGGGCCCCAGCTGGCCCCGACGTGGGGCTATGGGCATGGGTGTCCTTCTCTTGCCTGCCTCCGGAAATATTGAATGGCAGATATGGCACCGATGTTGGCCAGCAACACTGTAGGGGAAAAGCAGAAAGAGGCAGATGGGGAGGGTGGGGGTGCTTCAGACTCTAGGGCTCTCCCTGCCCCAGGTCAATATGGGAGTGTCTCAGGTAGATGAGCAAGGACAGGGCCAGGCTGTCCTGAGCCACACTTAAAATCACTGACCATCCGTATTGCAAGAACCCAGGCCGGACCAAAGATGGAACTAGGAATGGGGGGGTGGGGTGGGCAGGAGATATCCTGACTTTGGGGGCAGCTATGCCAGGAGCGGGGTTGGGAGATGACAGGCCTCTGGGAGGGATGGCATTGCTCCCTGGGCATAGCTGTCACTACCAAGCATGCTCCTCCCCACCACTCGCCCTGAACTTATGGCTGCAGCCCAACCCCTCAGTGTTACAGATGACAAAACTGAGGCCCAGAGAAGGAAAGGATTTGCCCAAGGTCACAGGCGGCCACTTGTCGCCTGCCTCCTCTCTGGCTACGGGATCTGGGGCTCCCACCTTTCCCTGCCCCTGATCCCCCCCCCAGGACCTCCTAGGGGCCAGCCCCCAGACCTGTTTTCCAGGCATCTGGTGCGTGAAGGTCGGAAGTCCTCACGGCCCACGTGGCAAAGGCCACGAACCCCAGACACATGTCATTCTGGTTGAAGGTGATAGGGATGAGTGAAGTCCTCTGCTCACCTGGGGGAGGAGAACAGAACACATGGACCCTGAGCTGCATCTGTCCACAGACCTCCTCCAACCTCCCAATAGCTCTCCTCTGCCTCCAGGCCCAGAGGGGGCCCAGGAGTCTCCCCTCCCCAGATACACAGCAAGTGCCTATTAAATATCATTGAATTAAACTAGAAACCAAAGGCAGGCTAGAGACACCAGGAGTGGCAGGCACCTTGGAGACTGTGGTTGAGGCTGGGCCAGATTGACAGGCCAGGGGGAGGGGCCCTCATCTCCCTGGATGTCATTCACTTCTGAAGCCAGGGCTCCCACCCCCTGCAGTCCCGAATCCCCCCACCCCTGGCCAGACCCTATGTCTCATGGTCACTTGGGGTGGGATGGGGGAATCAATGAGACAAAAAGTCCCTGGGGACTAAGGGATGGAAAGGGTTAAGGCTGGAGTCTGCACGAGTCACACCGGGCCTCCCTCTTGGCCTCCCTTTCCCCGGACAGGCTGTTCCCTGGACCTAGCACAGATTGTACTCACAGCTAAACCCCCACCTTTGGCCATTACCTTCGAGACTCACGGTCAGGCCTAGTTCCTCTGCTTTCGGTGGGTTCTGGTCTTCAGGGGCAGGGACACTAGGCCAGGCCTGCTCAGTCCCCAGAGTCTGCTCGTTGGAGAGGGTCGCTGGGACCCAGTTTGGGGGCAATGAGACACCAGTCGGCCCCTCGTCCCCAAAAAAGTGTTCGTAGGCCTCTGGGATAGAGATGGGGACTGGATCGACAGGGGCAGGCACCGGGACAGGAGGTCCTGGGGAGGGCCTCTGCCCAGGGAGGCGACTGTCCCGGAAAAAATATTCACACACCTCAGGCCACTGCACGTTGGATGGGACGGCCTCTTCCTCCTCCTCTTCCTCCTCGACTATGGTGTCACAGAAAAAATAGTCATAGGCCTCAGGGAGAGTGAGGGCAAAGTCCTCCCCGGGTCCTGCAGACTCCCTGGCCAAGGCTGAGGGGGAAGGCGGGTGTTTCAGGATGCGTGGCTGAGGACGAACCCCGACGGCTACTGCGTCCCAGGCTCTGGGGCTGTCTCGGCCTCCTCCCCAGGTCTTGGGGGGCTCAGAGGCAGCGCTGCCTGGCGAGGCTGAAGATGGGGAGGCCGAGTCGGAGTTCTCTCGAGGGGAGGTGGAGACCCCTGAAAAACGGACTTTCTTTCTCCTTGGGGCTCGGGCAGGGGTGACAACCCCAGGGGACTGTGTGGCATCATCGGTGACCGGTGAAGGCTCCCCCAGGGGTCCTGGAGACAAAGGAGCCCTGCTGCCTTCCTCGGGTTCCCCATGGAGCCCCTGTGGAGATACTGGGAAATCGAAACTCTTAGTAATTTGGGCAGGTGTAGACACATCCACATCTTCCCTGGCTCTGAGGGCAGAAGTTGAGAGATTCCTATCTGGCTCAGCCTTGAGTTCAGGTGTAGACACATCCACATCTGGCTGGACCTGGGGAGCAGGTGTAGACATATTCACATTTGGCTGGGCTCTGGGGACAGGGATGGCTGGGCCTACATCTGCCTTAGCCAAGGGAACAAGTGTAGACCGATGCCTTTCCGGTTCTGACTTGAGGATAGGTATAGACATGCCAACACCTGAGTTGGTCTTGGTATCAGATGTAAACACATGCTTGCGCAGCTTGTCTTTGGAGACAGGTGTAGACAGATTAACGCTTGGCCCAACCTCAGAGACTACTCCAGGCAAGTTTGTGGCCTTCTCAGGTAAGGAGACAGGTATAGACAGATTACCACTTGGCTCAAACTCAGATGCTACTCCCAGCAAGTTCGAGGCCTTCTCAGGTGAGGAGACAGGTGCAGACAGGTTCTTTCCTGCCGCAGGAATCCAGGTAGGTGTAGACACATTCACTGGGGTCTCAGTCTTTGAGACAGGTGCAGACAGATTACTACCTGGCTCAATCTCAGAGGCTACTTCAGTCAAGTTTGTGGCCTTCTCAGATAAGGAGACAGGTGTAGACAGATTACCACTTGACTCAACCTCAGAGGCTACTCCAGGCAAGTTTGTGGCCTTCTCAGATAAGGAGACAGGTGTAGACGGATTACCACTTGGCCCAACCTCAGAGACTACTCCAAGCAAGTTCGAGGCCTTCTCAGGTAAGGAGACAGGTATAGACAGATTACCACTTGGCCCAACCTCAGAAACTGCTCCAAGCAAGTTCGAGGCCTTCTCAGGTAAGGAGACAGGTATAGACAGATTACCACTTGGCTCAAACTCAGACGCTACTCCAGGCAAGTTTGTGGCCTTCTCAGGTAAGGAGACAGGTGCACACAGGTTCTTTCCTGTCCCAGGAATCCAGGTAGGTGTAGACACATTCACTGGGGTCTCGGTCTTTGAGACAGGTGAAGACAGATCCAAGAATGATTGTTCTTGAGGGGCAGGGGCAGTCGGCTTTGGGCCCAGGTCAGGGGTGGAGGATAGGTCCTGGGGGTCCGTCCCACGGCTGGCTCTGGTTCCCAATCCAGCTCCCCTGGCCAGCGACTCTGATGCTGGACCATTCCCCTCCCAATCAGCCGGGGCCAAATTGCCGTGTGCCCTGGTGCTGGGGCCCCTGTCTGGCCGGCTCCCTGAAGAAGGCGGCAGAGCCAGTGAAGGGCTGGGGGGACCCTGCCTCCTGGAGTCCTGAGCTTTGGGGGATCCGCTTCCTTTGGCCCCTACTGACCTCCTCTTCTTTCCTGGACTTCGAGGGGAGACTCCAGGATTAGGCTTTCGGGGAGATCTCTTCCCATCTGCTGACCCAAGGCTGCTGGGCTGCTCCTGGCCAGAGGGCCCCTGGCTTGGGGGGTCCTTTCCCAAGTGCACTCCAGCCTCAGAGGCCTGGGCAGCTGCCCCTTGCAAGGACCTCTGCATTGCGCCGCCACAGGAACCAGGCTCAAGACTCAGGGCAGAAGCAAGCTGGTCAGGGCGGAGGACACTGGAGGGCAGCTGCTCCTCCAGCTGGGTGGACGTGCTTGGAGTCTGCTGACCGGCCCCCGGGGCCAGGACACGTTCACACCGAAACCTGCTGACCAGGCAGGCGTCTGTGCCCTCCTCCTCCTCGCTGCCAGAGCAGCCCCCCTGGGCCGTGGCCAGGTGCCCGGGCAGGGACCGCCTGCCCAGGGCCTTCAGCAGGCCCTCCAGTGGGGGGCTGCTGCCACTGCTGTCCCCTTGGTCAATGTCACTGGAAAGCGGCTCTTCGCCTGAGGCCAGAGCAGCCTGAAGGAGGCCACACTCCTCTGCAGCTTCTGAGAACTCTGTCCAGTCCTTGTTGCTCAGCTGGATACTATACTCGAAGTTTTCCATTTCTGGGGTGACAGAGACACAGTGTGGCAGTTTGGGAGGCCTCTGAGCGGCCTGTGGAGGCGGGGGGCAGGGAGCTGTGTGCCAGCAGGGCAGAGACTGCTGAGTTCTCTGCCCAGAACTACAACCTCACATTCCCTGACCTCAAGTCTTATGCCTCAGTTTCCCTCTATGGTCTGGGTCTCAGATTCTGCAGCATCTTCCTTCTCGTCTTCCTCCCTCCCCTCTTTCTGAAAGAAGCCTGGACTAATGGGTAAGGCAATAGGTCTGGAACAATTCTCAGCCCTGATTTATTACCTGTGTAACCAGGAGCAGGTCATTTCACTCCTCACTTTATCTGAAAGGAGCCAGTTGACCTACACAGCTTGAAACTGTGATCCTGGGGTACCCTCCTTCCAAGCTTGCTGGGACTGGAGATACAAAACTCCAGGAATCCCACCCTTTATTCTAAGAATTTTTTGGAGGTTTTCCCTAAAATTAGAAAACAAAAAATACTTTCCTGTGTGTTTGCTATTTTTCCTTTGGGGCCAATATGCCTTTCAATTTATCAAACATAATTATTTTCTTGAGAAAACTAATACATCAAAAATATAATCTTATAGCTTATACAGGGTGATTTTATTTGTAAGAGGTACTAAAATAATCAATGTTAGATATTATTTTATCTCCACCTCCCAGCTCTCTCCCTGCTCCTGCCCCTTTGGCCTCAAGAATTTTCGCTGTACTTAGAACCCTGACCTGCTGATATTCCAAAGCAGCCTCCAGAGAAAGACCCCCACCCCACCCCTTCCTGAGGGGTCACCTCTAGGGGCAGGCTCAGGTGATCAGACATCCTGAGCCCTCTTTAACCAGAAGCAGGCCTCAGTGTAGATGGCCCAGTGGAGGGAGGGGGCTGAGGTCAGGCAGCCAATGTCACCCTGCTGATTTTCTGGCTGCTGATCCAATCACATCCCCCAGCCCAGATGGACCACAAAGCCCAGTAATCATCCCCTCCTTGAGCACTCGGGCTCCTGCCCTGACTTTGGCAGCCTCAAGGGGTCACTGGGTCAGCCCATCAAGGTCGTTTCCCTCACTGGGGCCAGGGGCCTGTGGTCAGCGGGGAGATCATGGGCTAAGGGCTGGAAAGGATCTCAGAAGCCAGCTAGGCCAACCCACTCATTTTACAAATGAGGAAACTGAAACCCAGACTGATTTGCCCAAGGTCAGACCAGTAGTAAATAGCAGGGCCAGAATTGGAACCTGGGTCTTAGTTCTCTTAGGAGAATTTCAACTATTCCCTTTCCTTCCCATAGGGGAAGGGGGAGTACCAGGATATCCCTGATGGGAGGTGGGGAAACTGAGGCACAGAGCAGGGGACACTCAGAGTCACACAGCACACAGGAGTAACGGTGACATGAGAATCCAAGTCCTGATTCTCCAGCTCAGCTTAGCAAGGATGTCCCTGGCATCCCCAAATACACAGCTCCACAGTGTGGACCTGAGGTCCCATCCAGTCCTTGCCTCCTTCTCTAATTCCCTGTTCCCCTAAATGACTGTTCATGCCTACAGGCATGCCAGGCTTTAAGCAGTCCCACCCCCTAGGAACTGAATCTTAGACCTTTTCAATTCCTGGTGACAGACACCCCCACCCCCACCCTGCAGAGAAATCCTCACAGTGACCTGAGGAACAGAGGATCAATGCCCCCCCTTCCCTGGTAACTTTTTGTCCATAAGGAAACCCTCAATGTATGGAATTAGCACCTACGTACTCCCATCCCTCCAGGACCCTCACCCTTGTGGAGAGAAGGATGGGGAAGAAGAAGACTAGGGAGGGGGGAGGGATTGACAGGTCCTACCTGGGTCCCCACAGCTTGATGGGGGGCATGAAGCAGGCTGGGGGTGTTAGGCAGCCGGGTCCAGAGGGGCATGGTGTTGGCTCAGTCTAGGACACTGGGCTCAGCCCCGCCCCACAAGCCTCTCTCATTGACATCCTAAAAATACTTTCCCTGCCCATTGGTCACATGCTCCCTGCCAGCCCCTGCCTCAGACACCCTGGGACTGAGCTCTACAAATAGATGGCATTTGAGATGGCCCAGCCCCTGGGGGGCGGGGAAGGGGAGGGGTCTGCCTATGTTCCAGCCACGTGATGTCGTCTCAGCTCCTTGGTAGCAGGCACCCAGAGTGACACGGATTCTATTTGAGTCACAGGGTCACCCAAATGAGTGGGCAAGTCAGGCCCAGAACCCGAGCTCGTGTTCTCATAGCACGGATAATTGGTAACAAATTCCTAAGATGGAGCGGCCTAAGAAATCTAGTCCACTGCCTTCACTGGAGAACAACTGAAGCCCAGAGAGGAAAGGGACTTACCCGAAGTCACACAGCTACTAAGGGGCAGAACCAAACCATGATCTTTCCAGAATACCATGGCATCTCTCCCTCCCCACCTCAGGAATATAAGTTGGAATGATGATGGGGGGGGCAGAGAAGGGACCAGATAATCCGTCCCCAAGGATTTATTAAGCACTAGAGGTACAAGTATAAAGACTGAAGCAGGCCCTGCCCTCAAAGAACTTATATGCTGAAGGGGGAGACAAGTGCATATATATGTGTAACAGAATAAACATAAAGAAAATACATGCAAAGTCGTTGAATATAAGGCATCTGGGGAAGGACCTCAGCCATTGTAGGGGGTAGAGAAGGGATCAAGAAAGGTTTTATGGGGGCAGGTAGGGGGCGCAGTGGATAAGCACCGGCCCTGAAGTCAGGAGGACCTGAGTTCAAATCCGACCTCAGACCAAACACTTGACACGTCTTAGCTGTGTGACCTTGGGCAAGTCACTTAACTCCGATTGCCTTTAAAAAAAAAAAAAGGTTTGATGAAGAAGCCGACTGGCAGTCAGGCTTAGTCAAAGGATCTAGCCCTTCAGAACCCCTCAGAGAGATAAGCCTTGGAGCTTTCTCATTTCCTATATTGGTAAACAGAGGCAGAAGGTAGATGTCAGAAAGCCAGATTAAAACAGCCTCCTACTGGGCAGCACACAGAACACCATCCCCATTGTTCAGCCTGGAGCATAATTCCCCCACTTGGGAGGAGATAGAGGATCTCAGCCCAGACACTAGATCCCTATGGAAAGGGTCCTGGGGGGAGAAGGGCAGAGGAATTTGATGGTAGAAGGTTCAGGGGGCAGCTAGGTGGTGCAGGGGATAGAGCTCCGGCCTTGGAGTCAGGAGGACTTGAGTTCAAATCCTGTCTCAGACATTTGACACTTACCAGCTGTGTGACCCTGGGGAAGTCACTTAACCCCAACTGCCTAAGCAAAAAAAAAAAAAAAAAGAAACAAAAGAAAAAGGAGGTCCAGGTCATGGGTAGGGGATGGCATCTCTGAGGATCTCACCAAGGCAGTCAAGTCAAAAAGCATTTATTAAGTGCTTACTATGTTCCAGACACTGTGCTAAGCACTAGGAATACAAAGAAAGGCAAAAGACAGTCCCTGCCCTCTAGGAGCTTGCTGGGGACAATATGCAAACAATTACGTACAAACAAAATGAACAAAGAGAAATTGGAGATGAATGATCTCAGAATGAAAGCAATGAGATTGAGAAGGCCTGGCTCACTGCAGAAGTGAGACTTCTGGGGAGTCTGAGGATGACCAGGAACCCTACACCACCAGCCTTCCCAGAATGGTGCCCTCCCTCCGGGGCAGAAGGTAGGAAGTGTTTGTGAAAGGGAGGAAATGGTGCGGTGACCTCATACGTCCACAAGGGGGAGGTAGTGACCTGTCCCTAAAGGTGCCAGGCCTTCTCCATAGAATGAGGATGGGGAAATGAGAAGGACAGAGAGGGAATCTTTTAGGGAAGAAAAACATGCTAGGGAGGGAGGGGACAATGATAGATAAAGCATTTATTAACGAAGGCGAAAGATGGGGGCAGAGTGAAGGAAGACCGTGAACGGGTTGGGGGGCCTGAGAGGGAGATAAATAGTGAATGGGGACGTGAGGGGAGAGGGTGACAATAAAGGATGGGTGGGCAGTGAAACAATCCCTGAAGGGGAATAGGGAGGTAGGCAAGGTCCTGGAGAAAAAGTGGGCTGTAGGTTGGGGAGAGGGAGGTCAGCAGGGCCAGGGTGAGGTGTCTCTGTGGCCACTCGCTGCAGCCCCTCCCTGGGGAGCCTAATGGTCACCCAGAGTCATGTGACCCTTCCTGACCCTTTGTAAATAGGACCTGGGGTTTGCGGCTTGGGGTTTTCGGGGAAGAATCCTGAAAATAAACAGTTGAAGTTCAAGATTTGGCCCAGCACTCACCCCCACCCCAGGTCTAGATTTGAGAAGGGGGAAAAAGCCCCTCCCTCATTCGGAGCAGGGTTGGGGGATTTCCTGTTCTGTGGAGGAACAATGTGCCCCCATAGGCCCTAAAAAGCTGAGGCCCCTCACCCTGACCACCTGTCACCTGGGGGGGAGGGGAGGTGTGTGCAAGAGGGCTGATTTCTTGACCTTCCCCTCTCCTCCTCCTCCTTGGTGGGCTTTTCCAAAGCCAACTTCACCATCCGTCCTCCTCTTTCCACTCTACCCGTCTCCTTCCCTTGCCCCCTTCACTCCCTCATTTTCCCCCCACCAGGAATGCCCAAGTGGAAATGGGGAGAGCAGTCAGTAGAGACTGAAACACCTCCCCCCCCCCCAGTATCTCCACCCTACAGAAGCCTCCTTCCCATTCCCAGGCCAGTGGAGCTTAGAGTGAAGGCGGGATTGAGGCTCGACATTGCGCAGAACTTCCTGACCGTAGGGGAGTCTATGGCTTTGAAAACACAAGAGAGACTTGAAGAAGTGGAGGAGAAGGGCTAAAGGTCCTCCAGGCCTTGGCCCTGCCCCAAGCCCTCGAGCCAGGGTCCCGACTTAGGCTGGATGGGGTGAAGAGGGACACAAGAGGTCACGCAGCTGACGATCCCCACGCACAAGGCACACGGGCAGGATCGTGGCTTCCCCTGGCCTGCAGCGAGGCCCTCAGGCGTTCCCCCGCTCCTCTATCCCCCCCGCCCTCCCCCCCCCCCGCCCCCCCCCCCCCCCCCCCCCTCCCCTGCCCCCCCCCCTCCTCCCTGGGAGCCCGGTCTCCGGTCTGGAAAGCTTCCCT